CAGACAGAGAACAGGACGTGGAGCTGAGCGTGCACCGTGCCACCCGTGGCTCAGGGGCCACGAGCGTGCACCCCAGCCACGTTACCACATCTAGGAAAACACGGCGTTGACCAGAGGCACAGGTGAAACGGCAACCAGAATCACTGCGGAAGAGGGCGCGACAGGGTGGTGGGCTGGTCCCCGCGCCAGGGACGTCCTGCTCCTCGCTCCTCAGAGCCTGTTCCCGGGCGGCGGGGTCAGGAGCACTGCCCAGGGACCCACAGAAGCCCCCAGCCCACGGGACCTAGGCCACGGATGGCGCGCAGGGGGCAGACCACACTGGGCGAGAGGCATGTCCTGAGGGAGGACGTGCCCGGGGACAGTGCCAGGACGTGGAGAGGACAGCAAGAGCACACTCACTGTGGACGCCAGCTGGGACCAGAGGGAAGCCACCCGACAGGAGGACCTACCTCCAGGCGCCCCCCGCCCCCCTGAAGCATGGTCCTGCCCTCAAGCCCAAGAGCACACGCGGGGTGCTTGCTTCTGGCAACACCGGTGGCTGTGCAAGGGCCAGCGGGGCCTGTGCGGGGACGGCCGCACGGGTCAGCTAGAGAAGCACACCCAGGAAGAGCGCAACAGTGAAGGGACGTCAGGAGGAGCCAGGCAGCGGGCGGGGCGGCGATGGCCTCCAGAGCACAGCAGGGAGGCTCCTCAAGGCCCTAGGGCACCCCCAGTGCATAACTCGTACTTCAGTTTCCAGGGTTTCTCCTCAAAGCTATTCGGGTTAAAAGAGAACCTCAACAGACGCGGGAGAAACCGGATTCTGACCTCAGGAAACTGCAGTGGAGACGGACAGTTCCTCCCCAGTCAACTGCCAAGTGGACACCACAGCAAACCCCAATAGGCTTTCCCTTCGGGGCGGAGACACGCAGGATTGTCCCCCACAGTCGCGACACCGAACCTGCGGGTGTGAACACGTGGGGGGCCCTGCGAAGGCACAGGAGGGGCGGGACTCCGACACACCACAAACGGCCACGGGGGCCACCGGGGCAGGAACAGATGGAAAGGCGACAGCAGGGTGCGAGGTCCCAGCCGCCTGTCCCCCGGGAGGCGCCCTTCAGAGCGGGAGGCCTGTCCCCGGGGGCTCCCACGTCCCCTCGGCCCGCAGCTCCAGGCACCCTGCAGCCGCGCCCGCACCCGCGCTGGCTTCCATCCGCTCCATCAGGCTTCCTACTTTGTTCTACTCTGCCCCGGTTTTACCGCCTTCTTCTCACACAGCACAGTTCACACCTGAGTCTGTCTTACTCCTGTTTTCACTGTGACCCACACCGTGTGCTTCCCTAGAAGGGGGGTGTCCGGACACGTGCTTCTGTGGAGGGCAGGCGCGCCCCGGAGTCACCGGGGGCACTTCCTGCAGGCCCCCGCCCAGCCCCGCCGTCAGCCGTCAGCCGTCAGCTGCAGGGCCGGGGAGCCGTCGTGCGCACACTGTCGTCTCCCAGGTGAAGTTGTCTGCCTCCCACTTATCTTATCTCTCGTGTCTCCGCTGTGCCAAGGCTTCCCTCCCGTCGTGTGCTCCTCGCTCCTCCGCCCTCCTGCATCTTGTGCCGTACGCTCCTCTCTCCTCAGCCTGAACTAACAAGGAGCAGGTGCATTCGTGACGCTCACAGCCACGCTCACTGAGTGAAGATTTGATTCCTAAAGATTTTTCAGAAATGGCACCAAGGCTGGAACGCCATAAACAAAAAAATGTGACACCATAAAAATTTAATCTGTGAAACACCACAAGACCGATTAAAAATCTCCGTCGTTAACAAGTTACAAAGTTAGGAAAAAAACTGCAACACAGACCACGAAAGACTAATAACATCCTTCCTATGTGAAGAGCTCTTGCAAATCAAGAAGAGCAACACAGGACAGGAGTAAAGGATGCCACAGGCAGCCTTGCTGGGGGTGACTTGGGATGGGTACGAACCTCACCAGAAGTGCAACAACAATAATCTTGCTTCTTTCCCCAACCTGTGAGAGGACTGAAGACTCAAATAATCCCGGTTTGGTGCCTGGAACACGTGCTCAAGAACCATCAGCGTAAATCACGGTTGATACGTAGCATTACTGCTGTCGTTAAGCTCAGCAGGCAGCAAAGCAGCAGCACCGCGGACACAGCCGACAACCTGCACAGGCTCCGCGGAATTCTCAGCGAGGAAAGCCAGTCTCACAAGGGTACACGGCACGTGGCTGCACACATTCTTGACAAGACAAAACCGTCGAGCTGGAGATCAGCAAGTCGGTAGCCGCCAGGGTTGGGGGCGGGGGCGGAGGTGCCAGCAGTTCTGCATCTGGACTGCGGTGGTTAACGGCGCTCCACGTGGGATGAGACTGCGTGGAAGCCCCAAGTGCACGTACGCAGACACGAGCACAGAGAGATCTGAACCACGTCTGGAAGGTACCGGGACGGCTCCCATGCTAGGGGCAGGCAGGAGGTCACTGCTGGGGGCAGGGGACCTGACCTCTCCCTACAGGTCTCTGCAACTTCCTGTCAATCTGCAATGATGCGGCAAAAGTCCATCAATCCCACAAAAAGGGAGAAATGAGTGAGGCTCAAGATAACACAAAATTCATCAAAAAGAAACTCATGGCCAATAATCTTTTGAACACAGATCACCCATTGTCGGTGATGCAAATGGCCCTGAAACGGCATATCCTTGTCACCGCTCCAGCAGGAGGACAGGTGTGAAGACCTGTGCTGGCCAAGGGGCTGGTCCGGAGGGACGCTCACCAGAGCCCAGCCCTGCGTGACGAACTCGCCCGACGCCGGGGCAGACAGGCCCCGCAGAGACCCCGGGCACCACGAGGAAAGCTGCCCAGAAAGGACCCCCAGGAGAGGCCCCTCTGCCAGGCCCGCAGGCTCTGCCCGGAGTCCTGGTGGCCTCAGACCCCATGGTGACTGCAGACAATGCAGTCACGCGACCCTGTGCCTCGAGGTCGCCCAAGAGGGAGGGACCAGAAAGCTTTCTCCCTGTGTGCAGCCCGGACGCAGACACCAAGCAGACCCTCCAGCTCCGGGGCTTCCCCGCGCCCGGGCATCCGAAGCAGCCGGGCCGCCAACCTCTGGACCCTGGGCAGGGTCGCCCACGCTGGGAGCCGCCGGCCACACAGTGGGCTGCTGACTTTCTAACAGGAAGGGCCCCCTGCGACCCACAGGGAGGAAGAGCCGACCGTGAACAGCCACCAGACCCTGGAGGGGCGCCAGGCTGGCGGGGACCCCTGTGAGCACATGCGACCCCAAGGAGGATGACCGGCCTGCTCGGGAAGGGGTGACCGGGCCCAGGAGGGAGAAGCCATCAGGGCCCAAGCCCAGGGCCCGAGGCTCCCAGGCCTGACGCTGGGCTCAGGCAGGGCCAGGAGGGCTCCCCTAAGACGCCCCCACGCTTCCAGCTGAGCAGTACGGAAACCCCCAGACTCACTGAATCATCTGGCCACAGGCAAGCACCCTTTATGAATGAAGAAACGGAAGCTCCCGGTCACACCACCAGGCACAGGTGACATGGGATCTGGTGCCTGTGGGGCAGCGAGGGGGGGCCCTTGGGCTCAGGCAGGGGTTGACGGCTTAAACTGGACCTGGTTGGTGGTCCCCAGCAGCACACCAGGGGGGTCTCCCAGGAACCACCACACCCCGTCCCTCCTAAGAAAATGCAGCCCAGTGTTGGGGGGGGTGGGGAACGATAAGACGAGCTGTCCCCAGCCAAAGGCCCCGGGCAGGGCCAGACGTGGGGCAACTTGGAGGGCCCCTCCCCAGGAGCCATGGCTTTAGTCTTCGGGGCCACCGCCCAGGTGGACCCTGCAGGAAGACAGAGGCCCGGGGTAGAGACCCCCATGGCCCGACCCTCTGCCCGATGCAGCCAAAAGCTCGCACCCCAGCTCCTGGGAGACGTTTCCAGGGGGAGGGCCAGGCCTGTGGGGATTTCCACAGCTCGGGCAGGACTGTCCAGCCCTGCGGCCACTTCCTCAGGCGGAGGGGAAGGCTGGCGTGGGGGGACGGACATGACACAACGTCCCTCCCCTGCAGGGATGCCCAAGCACAACCCACCCTGAACCCCCCCCCCCAGAGCCCACTGGACACCCCCAGCGGCACCTGCAGACAGCTCTGAGAAAGAACCGTCTGATCCGAATCCCAGGGTCCCGGAACACCACATGCCCGATGCTGAGACCCCAAAGAGATGCGGGATCCACAGGGTGGCAGGAGGTCCTGGGCTCCCCCAATCCCACCCACAACCAGGGTGGGCTCCCCGAAGTACCCAGGGCAGCCCTCTCTGCCCACAGCCCTGCAGGGCTCCCAGCTCCCTGGGATAAAAGCCCAAACCTTCCAGACACCCTAAGGCCCTGTAGCACTGCCCTGTCCTCTCTCTGCTCTCCCCTCCTCCCTCTCACTCACTCTGCTCTGGGCACACAGGTCTCCTTGCTCTTCTTCCCACACACCAGGCCTGGTTCTGCCCCAGGACCTTTGCACGGGCTATGCCCACTGCCTTGAACCCCCCTCAGGGCTCTGCTCAAACAGCATTTCCTCGGAGTCGGCCCCCAACTCCCTTGGCTCTGTGGCAGCGTCCCCCCTGCTACTGTGCGGCCTGGCCCCTGTGCTAGGCCCTTCAGCAGGAAGAAGTGGCCTGTGCTTCCCCTGCCGTGTCTTGGACCCCCCCATGCCCAATAGGGGGGGCTTATTCATCCAAGTTTGCCAGAGCTATTCCTAGAATGAATGCTGAAAATCGCAGGGCCCAGAATAACCCTGGGTGCTCAGCAAGATGCTCCGTCAGCCCGGCGCCGGGTTCCGTATACAGCAGGCACATACTACACACCAGGAGTAAAACCAGCCAGCAGCTGGGCCTCTCCCCGACATGCAAGTAGGCCCAAGTCAGGAGGGCTGGGTGCTAGCACCCCCAGCTCTCAGCTTCCCCTCATGCTGGAGCCCACAGCCCCAGCCCCGCCCCGGCCGCCCAGCCCACCACACCCGCACCCCACGATCCTACCTGAGCCTCCAAACTGGGCTCCAGCCAGGGAGGCGGGCCGGCCCTTGCCGTTGGCCACCGGCAGCGGGAACATCTGTGGGGAGAGAGAGAGAGGCTGGGCGCGCGTGCCAGGATGGGCCCCGCTGCCAGCAACGGGAAATCGGGCACAACTCAAAACCCCACGTGGGGATGCCGGCTGGCCACCATGCAGCGTGCGACTCTGGATCTTGGTCACGAGTTCGAGCCCCACTCGAGCAGAGTTTACTTCAAAAATAAGACTAGAAAATCACTCTGCCGTTTCGGGGCCAGAGTAACCGACTCCAGCGCCGAAGAGCGTTTACCTGCTCTTGGAAATGACGCAGTTCCGCGTACCCCTCAGCTTTAGGGAACATTTATGCTCCTGGGGCCGCAGCAGCGAATCCGCTGCGAGAACCGCCTCTGGCCCGAGCCCCGGCGCTGAGTGGCGGCCATGGGGAGAGGGGCCGTGACCTGGCTCAGTGTCCCCCCGGGGTCCTTGTCATACCTGCCCTCGGGAGACACTGAGGCTCAGAAGGACAGGAAGCTGGAGGGACCTGGGAAAGGGTGCCCCCCACACCCCTGCCCCAGTTTACCCAAACCCACCGTATTAAGTCCCTCGGGATTAAGCAGCTTAGCGGCTCAGGCCGCGAAACCGAACATCAACAAGCCCCGCGGCCACACGGAAGCACACACGCCCCCGCCCTGCCCCCGCCCTGCCCCACGGTCCAGGGCGGTCCAGGGCTACTACGGGTCCCATCTGGGGCCCGGACTCGGGGCGGGGGGCTCTGGGTGGCTGCCGGGAGGTGGGGCACGGGGCCGTGGGCAAGCCCCGGGAGACCCAGGATGTGGGGCCCTGCGCCCACGGACCGTCCACAGGAGGGAAATGGAGGCCCCAGGCTCACCTGGCCCGGCAGGCGCAGGGGCTCATGGGAGGAGCGCAGCCCCGCCGGAAGCAGGTTTGCACTGGGTCTGCACCCTCTCGGGGGCGTGGCTGCGCTCACTCAACTGGCCCAGCCTCCCCAAGGTCCCCGGCTCCCAGTTAGGGTCTGGTCCCACCGGGGAAACTGAGGCCTGCACTGGGGGGAAGGGTGGTGGCCTGAACCATGACCAGAACCAACAGGACGCCAGGCCTGGGGGTGTGCGGGCCCCATCCCAAGCCTCTGTTTTGTCCTCTAAGATACCAAGGACCATGCTGACGTGGCACCTGCCACCAGGGACACCGGGCCACGTCAGCCCCGTCACTGCCCCTCGTCCTCAGGCCCTCAGTCTTCCCCTCCGTGACATGGACTCAGGACCCGACCCCACGGGACCCCGAGCCCCAAGCACACAAGGGCATCGTGGGCACACAGGGAGGTGCCTCTGCAGGGGGGCGAGCGCCCAGTGGGGTTGGCCAGCCGCGGCCCCGGGGAAGCGCCCCAGGCAAGCACCGGCCTGCAGCGCCACCCCGGGGAGTCCCGAAGCCCATGCGCCCTCTGCACCCCGACGAGCTTCTGTCCTGATGGGGGCTCAGGGCCTGGCCCGAGTAGCTCGGACGCCTTGGTGGAGCGACCGCCCTGCCTGCTGGTCACGGGACCGGTCCCCACAGCACCGCCCTCCGCGACCTCCTCTCTGTCTGAGACCGAGCTGTTTTACAAAATAATCCACTCGGGTTCTTTGTGGCAGGACGCAGGGTGCAGCGACAAGGGGACGGAGGTGACAAGAGAGGACACGGGGGGGGGGGCGGGGGGGCTGCCTCTGGCACCAGCCAGGCCTCCCCCTGTAACGAGGGGGTGAAGGGAATCCAGCTCCAGGTTCACTCTGCGGGGACACGCAGAGCACCTGACCCCTCGGCCTCCGTTTCTGCGGCTGGGAAATGGGCTGCGGGTCATCAGCAAGGACGGACAAGCCAGTGGGACCCACCAGACAGAGGGGGGCGGGGGCGCCCAGGCTGTCGGACAGGAGAGGCTAAGGGGCCCGGCCTGAACCCGTGCCCACTCCCGCCCCCGCCCCAGCCTGTTCCGGCTCAGTAGTCTGTGACCTGTCAGTTTAACAAAAAAACAACCGAGCTGTGCTCCGGGTTACTCAGCCGGGGAGGCAAAAATAAAACGGGGCTTAAAAATACCAGCGCGGCCCTTCCGGACCGGAGCCCCTGTCCCGAGGGCTGTGTTTCCACAGGACAGCAGTGCCGTTTCGCTTTGGGGACTTTTGTTTTCGACAGGCCTCAGTGGCCTGGCCTCTGACCCGGTGGAGGCTGAGGTTCACACCGAGAGTGCCCTCCCCAACCGGCTTCACACCGACACGGCGGCTTCCCGGAGCAGGGAACCGCCCGGACACGGGGAGCACAGTTTGAGGACACACAGACCACGCCGACACCGGGGACAGACAGCCCACCGCACAGACGGACAAACGTGGCCCCTGGTCCTTCAGGATAAGCCCCCGTTCCCAGCACCGGAGGAGGCCCCGTGGGGCCGTGATGCCCCTGGCAGCGTCCTGGGAGCTCAGTCCAGCCAGGCGGGGGGGGGGGGGGGGGCTCTCGGGGCCCTGAGGAGGACGGTAGTGACAGCGGCAGCCCCCGCCAGCTCAGAGTGTGCGCTGCCCAGGGACCTCCACCCTCCCAAGGCCTCCTGCCGCCTCCCGCCCGCTCCTGACCATCCCCACAGCAGCCACCACGTGGCTGAATGACTGAAGTACTAGCTGCCACTGCCGCCCCACTGCCGCCCGTGTTCCGGCTCACCCTCGGGCCCCCCGCTGCTCACCTTCGCGCTGGGTGCCTCTTTCCCTTTTCTTTCTTTTGCACCCACGCTGGACGACTAACCCCGCTCACGCCCACCCTCCAGGTCAGGAGGCCGAGGCCACCGCAGGCCCGCGGCCCATGCCCCCACCGCCCCCCAAGGCCCCCTCCAGCCCAAGTCTGAGGCCTGGCTCCCAGCTGGGGGGCCCTTGTGGCAAGCGTCCTGTCCCAGGGACCTGGGGCGCAGGCCCACCCCGCGGCAGGGCGGGAGCCCGGGAAGGTGAGCCCGGCTTACCATGCTGAAGTCCAGCAGGTCGCTGAGCTCCTTGTCTGTGCCCACGGGCGCCATCCTCTGCGGCTGGTTCATCCTCCAGGGGCCAAGGTGGGCACCTCAGGCCTGCAAACGGCCCTGCAGACGGGCCGGACACACGGGGAGGAAGGAGGGGAAGAAGAGCTGAGTGGCAGGCAGAGGTGGACAGATGGGGAGTAAAAGCCGGGCTCCTAACCGCCCTGAGGGCGCAGGTCTTCCCAGAATGAGCCCCTCCATGACCCCGGCAGTGGGGGCAGGGCAGCCAGGACTCCCTGCTTCGGCCCGGAGACCTCTCCCCAGAGCCCTCAGGGAGGCCGAACAATGCGGGGGGAGGGGGAGGAGTCCGCAAATATCCCTTCCCTAAACTCCCTCCAAGACCACCAGGGAATCAGATTGCAAATTTTAAACGGGATGCGGGGTGGGAGTGGTCCCTGCCCATCCGCCAGGACCCGCCCCGCCCCCGCCCCCTCCCAATCCCCCCTCCCGGGCTGGGCCCCGCTGGGGAAGGGGGAGGGCGGCCCAGGCCCCATCCCCAGGGAAATTCTGTGACCCCCGCCCCCCAGCAGCTGTCACAGCGCGGTGAAAACCAGGTCACCCCCAAATTGAAAGCTAAAAAACAATCTTCTCAACGGGGGGGGGGGTGGGGGGTGCCCAGGGTAGGGACTCGCAAGCGAAGCTCCCTGCACTCTTAACGTCCCCCCAACGAAAAAGACAAAAAAAAAAAAAAAAGAAGAACCTCATAAGAAAAAAAAATAAGTAAATAACCTTAGTTTGTTTTATTGTCACGATAGATCCGGGAATTATTTTCTCAGCAACTTTGAAAACATCCCTAACCTCCCGCTGGGGGGGGGGGGGTCCCCGAAGCGGGGTTTCCCCCGCAGCGCCCCAGGGGCCGCCGGGGGCCGCGCGGGGGAGGGAGGGGGGTCACCTGCGGCGCCGCCGGCGGCTGCGGGGTCCGGCCCGGGGAGACCCCGCTTTGTTCGCCCGCCCGGGCCGGCTGCGAGCGGCCCCCCCCCCCCCCCCGGCTCCCCGCCCCCGGAGGCCGTGCGGAACTCACTTGGAGGAGGAGTACGAAACCGCACTTTTCCTGGGGCGGCCGAAAGCGGCGTGGAGGCCGCCGCGGGCCGGGGGTGTCGCGGGGCCCGGGCCGAGCCCACGGCGCCCCCCCCCCGCCGCGGCCGGTGCAGCGGGCGGCCCCGGAGCCTTTGAAGCCCGCCCGCCGCCGCCGCCGCCGCCCCGGGCCGCGCTAACGCGGAGCAGATGTTCGCGCCCCGGCCCCCCCGCCCGGCCTCAACCTGCGCCCGCGGGCCGCGCCGCACCTTCCCCGCCAGACAAAAGGCCGCTCCCCGCCCCCGCCCCGCTCGGCGCCCGCGGGGCCCCCGCCGCCGCCCCCCGCCGCGCCCGCCGCAAACTTTCGCCAAGTGCGGCCCAGGCCGGAAAGTTGGAGAACAATGACGGCGAGCGGGCCCGCGCCCCGACGGCGCCCCAGGGTCCCCGCCCGCGCGGGGCTGCGCGGGGCCGCGGGGCCCGGGGCGGCTGCTCACCTGCTCGGCGCGGCCCGGCCCGCAGCGCGCGGGGGGCGGCGGCATGAACGGCCCCCCCCGGACAAAGGGGCGTCGCGCCGGGCCCCGAGGGTCGCGCGTGGGCGGCGGCGGCGGCGGCGGCGGCGGCGCTGCGGCCGGGCCTCCCCGCGGCCCGCCCCGAGGGGCCCGTGCGCGGCCGCGGCGCTGGCGGAGGCGGCGTGTGCGAGCTCGCGCTGCCCTGCGGCCGCCTCGCTGGGTCGGTCCGGCCCGCTACGCCCGCGGCCGCCGCCGCTGCCTCATCTTCCTGCGGCGGGAGACATGTTCCGCCCCCCGCCCCGCGCGCGGCCCCGCCCCCGCCGGGCCCCGGCCCCGCCCCCGCCGGGCCCCGCCCCGCCCCGCCGCGCTCCGCCCGGCGCCGCCGCGGATCCCTCCGCCGCCTCCCGCTCGGCCCCCGCCGGGCCCCGCGGCTCGTCCTCCCGCGCGCCCGAGGGGCCCGGCCCGGGCTGGCGCGGCCTGGGGCCTGGGAGCAGGGGCGCCCGGGCGGGGCGGCGGCGGGGGGCGCGGGGAGGGGCCCCGGACTATCTTCCGGCGCGGACGCGCACGCACGGCGGGCACGCACCGCTGACGCAAGAGGGCCAGGATCGTGAGATGGAAAGATGAGGCAGGGCAGCGGTGGCCAATCGGAGGCTGCGAGTCGGTGACGGACGCGCCCGCCGGCCACTCGTCGCGCGGCCCCGCCCCCGCCCCCGCCCCGCCTCCTCGGCGCGGCCTGGCGAGGAAAGAGGTGGGACTTTCGTGCGCGTTAGGCCCCGACCGCGGTGGGGGTGGGCTTTCGGGTTTTATTGTCAGGTTTGCGTGGCCGCCCGCGCGGCCGCGCCGGCCGGGTCGTGTCTCCGTTCCTAGGGCCGGTCCCGGGCCTGGCCGTTGAGAGCGGGCATCTGCCCCCCGGAGGACGCGGTTTGCACCCGTTTTGCTGGCAGGACGATGGGAGCCCGCTCGGCTTCAGGGTCAGAGGCCCACACGGGGGCCGCCCTGAGCCTCTGACTTGCTTTCTCCTCCCCGAGTCTCAGTTTGCGCATCTGTAAAGCGGAGTCTGGACCAAGCCTTTAGATTGTGGGCGGCCTGGTCTCCCTTTGGGTCGGAACTTCTTCCCACATCCAGGGGCTCCCCGGCTTTGGAGGATCGCAGACCCTACAGAAGGGGAGGGATAAAATCACAAATTAAAATGTCACAGTCTTGGGGCGCCTGGGTGGCTGGGTTGGTTTAGCGCCTGCCTTCAGCTCAGGTCATGACCCCTGGGGACCCCGAGGGCCTCAGGTCATGACCCCCCGGGGCCTCAGGGGCTCAAGTCATTATCCCAGGGTTCTGGGGTCTCAGGTCATGATCCTGTGGTCCTGGGACTCAGGGTCCTGGGATTGAGTCCTGCATGGAGCTCCCTGCAGGGAGTCTGCTCCTCCCTCTGCCCCCTCCCCCCCCCATTTTCTCTGTCTCTCAAATAAATAAAATATTTTTTAAAAAAGAGAAAATACCACAATCTTTCGTGCCTTCCTGTGTCCCCAGGAAGGCACACTCCCTTCCAGGCCTGGGAAGAGGCCACCGTCCTCCTGACCCACTAGGCTCTGGCCGCCAGGGCCTCTCGGCTGTTTTGGAACCTGCCAGGCCCATGCTCACCTCCAGGCCGTTGTCCTTGCGGCCTCTGCCTGGACTGCTTTTCCACTCACACCTGGAAACCGCGAATCACGGTAGTTCAGGGCTGCTCCCAGGCCAGGAAGCAGAGTGGCGGTCCAGGGTGAGGGGTACGAGGAGCGGCCGGAGGCCTCCGGGGCCACCCAACATAGGCACAAGCCCCTCGTGCTACCCCAAAGTAGGCTGGCCCTCACCCCAACCCGTTCTGGCTCAGAGAATTTCCCTGTGCTGCGTGCCTGGAGAGGGAGGTATGGGTCTTGGGGTCCGGGTGCAGATTCCTCCCGCCTCCCAGCCTCACTGTGACCTCATGCAAAGTCTTGACTGGCCCTGGGCCTGTTTCCCATCAGGACGTGGAAGGCACCGTGATGGGCACAGAGCCGGTGCCCTCAGCTTGTGCCTCCCCACTGCTGGGCCTGTGTCTCTGGCGGCACAGAGGTGCCCTGGGTCCCCAGCCGTGCCCTGTGGCCTGACCCTGCCGCTGCGGCCTCCCGCCAGCCTGGGTCCAGGCCTCGCAGGCCCCCAGCCTCGCTCGGGCTGTAGTGTGCCCAGTCCCTGCTTCCCCGAGAGTGCTCGGGGTCTGAACCATGGCGTTGGGGTCACCATTCCTGGAGTGGCCCTCAACGCACTCCCTGCAGCGGGGAACCATGCAGCTACTATGTGCCTCGCTCCTGGGCATTGGGCCATGCAGTGCCTGTGCCCTACCCCGAGTCTGCCCTCCGAGGCAGGATGGGGCATCAGAGGCCCCCTTGGCATCCCTACGTGTGGCCATCAGGTCACCATACCTGAGCCATGAGACCCATTGTACAGATGAAGAAACTGAGGCTTCCAAAGGCCCTCCCCAGGGCCCAGGCGCCCTGGGGCTCACACCTGCCAGGAGGCCCTCCCGGCCCCCGCAGGCCACCGCTGTCCTCCCTGGGGAGGCCCAGCCTGGGCTGAGTCACTGGGTGGAGTAGCCCGTGGGGGCCCCCACACACTGACACCTCTGCCCAGCCCGGAGGCCTGGGTGAGCCCCACAAGGCCCTGGCATGGGGACAGGCAGCCGGTGGCTGGTGCCAGGGGCCCCTTGAGGCCCGCCCACCCCGCCCGCCCGCGGCCTTTGTTCTGTGGGTGCCCGCCCGCCCGCTTGGCCCCGTGCAGACGGGAGCCGGGGCCCTGCCTCCCCCACCTGCTTCCTCCTTCCACACAAGCCACACCTACTGTGCGCTAGGCCCCAGGCCCGGGGACCCCACACACCGAGGGAGGTAACCCCGTTTCTGGTGGGGCAAACACATGCCATGGACGCTCGCTCGCCAGGCAGTGGGGGGGCAAGGCACAGGACATAGGCCCCGGGTGGAAGCTTCCGGAAGAGTCACCCTGGGTGTGCAGGCCAGGGGCGTCCGCCGACAAGGAGCGCGATGGAGTTTGGGACTCTGGGGCCCTCCTCCCGACATCTGTTTTCCTTTGTCTCCAAAGTGGGAAGGTTGTCTTGGGGTGTGAGTGCAGCCCCCGCCTGCTGCCCCCCCACGCTTTCAGAAGCCCTGGCAGGAGGGAGGGGCCCTTATCACCGGCACCAACGGTTCACCGTCTCCAGACGACTGCCTCTGGGGCCTGGGGCTCCTGGGTCCCTTCACACCCCCAGGGGGGCGCGGGGGGCTCGGGTAGGCGGCTGGGTCAGGGCTCACTCCCTCCCTCATTCCTTCATCGTCCCTTCGGGGAGGGCCCGGTGTTTGGGCCTGGGGGTGTCCCTGGGCTGCAGGCCCCCTGGGAGCAGAACGGGACAGGAGCTGGGGCCACTGGCCCCTCCCTAGGCCTAGCAGCGGGAAGTAGCAGGAAGGGGGGAGGGGACCAGAGGCCATCTGACCCCTGGCCCTCCCCCCCCCCCATCCTTGGGAGCCAGGGGCCAGCACCTCAGCCTCCCACCCCCACTGCTGGGCACCAGGCGGAGATCCAGAGGGCTCTGAGTGGGCCCCACAGGACCCTGAGCTCGGTGGGGTGGGTCTGGGGGGCAGTGACACTCGGGGATGACCAGGGGATTGAGCAGAAGTGTGGTGACCGAGGCTGGGAGGTGGAGCTCAGGGAAATGGAAGGTGAAGGAGCCAAGGTCAGCGGGTGGGGCGGGGCCTTGAAGGAGAGAGCACTAGGGAGCCACGGGGGACTGGAGCCCCAGAGGGAGGGGCCCCTACGGCTGCCCAGTGGGCGAGGGCTCCTGGCAGGCGGAGTGGAGGTAGACGGACAGGGCTGGCCCCTGGGGTGCAGAGAGGGGGGATGGGGGACAGGTGATGGGGGACGGGGGACGGTCTGAGGGTGGCCGGAGGCTTTCCAAGGGGCAGGGTGAGTGCTGGGTGTGGGGCCGGGGCCTGGGCACGTTCATGCTGTGTCCTGTCCAGGCAGGGACATCATAGGGCTGGTGGCAGGAATGAACGGGGCGCAGGGGCTCCTGGCGCCCCCATATGAGGCCCCGTGGGACGGAGCCAGCGCTCCGGGGGCAACAGGGGCAGCAGCGAGAGAAGAGAGGGTGAATGAGCCCTGACCTGGGGCGAGCCCCAACCCGGGGCTCCAGCGGCGGAACCCACCCACCCACTACCCTGGACCCCCGACGTGCCCTGTGCCCATCACCCCAGGACCAGTGCCACCTGCCAGGGCTGGCCCTCCCCCTCCTGGCCTGGTGCCTGTGGTGCTGACTCAGGGGCCCCCGGGGCCTGTCCCACCGCATTCCGGGGTGGCCTGTGCAAACACGGGGTGCCTCCCCACGGGCATTGTCCATCCTGGTTCCCGGGGAGGGGTGCGCCCAGGGGATGGGGAGCCACCGACCGCTGCCCGCCCACGCGCCCACCCACGGGGCGGCCTTGCTGACCTCGGCCTGTGGCGGCCCGGGGGCCCCTGTCAGCCCTGCGCCAGCCGCTTCTTCCCGCCTTCCTCCGCGTCCCCACTGCCCAGACAGGGAGACTGAGTCCTGGCCCCACCCCGCCGGGAGGCCGGCGAGGCTGCACACCTGGCGCACCGCCCGCCAGTGCCATCACCCGCGCCCCAGGGCCGCTTCCAGAAACGCAGGCAGGGCGCGCCCCTCGCCGGCCAGGAGCCGGGGGGCGACGTGCTCTCACGGGTGCACAGCGGTGCTGACCCGGCAAGGCCCGGGCTGGCGGGGGCGCCCCGGCCCTGTGCTCGCTGTGCCCGGCGGCTCTTGGTCCTCCTTCAGCTCTCAGCGCGGGGGCCGGGGCCGCCCCCTCCAGGAAGCTTCCCTGGTCCCCAGTGGAGCCAGGCCCCCGCCCAGCTCACAGCCCCTCTCACCTTCTGCAGTTTCTGGTTACCCCCCTTCGCCAGGCCAGCGCCCCCAAGGGCAGGGAGCGAGGTTTCCGCCCTCCACGCGGTGTGACGCACAGTGGGTGCTCATGGGCCCGCGGGTGGGGTGAGGGCAGAGGCAGTGCGCTGCTCCTGGTTCTCTTTTTATTTTATTTTTAAAGATTTTATTTATTTATTCCTGAGAGACCCAGAGAGAGCAGGGGGGCCCGATGCGGGACTCAATCCCAGGACCCTGGGGTCACGCCCTGAGCCCCAGGTAGACGCTCACCCGCCAAGCCCCCCCGGGCGGCGTCCCGAGGGCTCCTTGTTCTGAAGGCTACGTCTGGGGCCCAAGAGACGGTGTCCAGAGGGAGGAATGCACAGAAGCCATGGGCCCAGCTCCGCCAACAGGCCTGAGTTCAAGTCCCGGTCCCGCCCTTATCGTGACTGTATGACTCGGGCAGAGGCTGCTCCTGCGTGGGCCTCAGTTTCCCCTTCTGAAAGTCAGGGCTGGGGGCGGTCATCTTCCAGGTCAGCTGGCACCTCACCTTCCCTGCAGTCGCCGTGCTGGGTCCCACTGGGGCCCTGGGAGGTGGTGACCATGGTGGCACCCATTCTGCAGGTGCTCACCCAGGAGGCCCAGGGAGGAGGCAGGCCCCGCTTCTTTTCCTCCGAGGGGTGAGGCCCATTGCTTCCTGGGCGCCCAGGCCCGGCCCCAACTTGCCCTCCAAGGGCCTGGCAGGAGCGTGTGAGACAGGGCCCGGGGCGCGAGGTGCTCGGACTCCTCTGAGCTCCCTGTCCTCCTAGGCTGGGAGGCTTCGTCCAGCCTTTCCACCTCCTCGTCCTCTCCAGGAGCAGAAGAGGCACAAAGCCAAGACGTACAACAAGAAGAATCATCGTCATGCTTGACTATGTAACAACTAAACACTTTGGAATTGAACAGACACACAGAGGAGGTTAGAGGAGGTGGGAGGATGGGGCGGCAAAGAATGGCAACATTGTGACAGAAGGATTTATATCCTTCACATACAAAGAGTCCCTACAAATCAATAAAAAAAATAGGGACGCCTGGGTGGCTCAGCGGCTGAGCGTCTGCCTTTAGCCCAGGGCATGGCCCTGGGCTCCCCGGATCGAGTCCCATGTTGGGCTCCCTGCAGGGAACCTGCTTCTCCCTCTGCCTGTGTCTCTGCCTCTCTCTGGGTCTCTCATGAATACATTTTTAAAAATCTTTAAAAACAAAAACAAAACCAGGAAGCCCACACCAAGAAATGAACATTAGTTCTTCACGTAAGAAATACGAACCAACGGCAGTTAAAGGGACAGAGAAAAAGACCCTTGATGTTGCTATTGGTGAAAGAAATGCAAACGAGCACGCAAATAAGAAAACGCGGACCGACCTCACGGTTGGCAGGACAGTACGAGACGGGTCATATCCTGCGGTGACGAAACTAGGCGTGGGGTCCACCGGAGGGTGTGTGTCCCAGCAAAGGAAGTCGGCCACACCCCCTTGAACGCCCCCGTCCAGTCCCAATCCTAACGCCAATACACCTAATAAAAAACAGTGGCACAAACAGGGACGTCCCTCAGAAGGCGGGCTGCGGCAGCGGGCGCTCGGACGTGACCCGTGTCCAGCAGAAGGGGACGCACCAGGCGATGACAACGCCGGCGTGCGAGGATTGCTGCCCTCGCCTTCCAGCGCTCGGGGTTCGCCTGCATATTGAGCCGGAAAGACGTCTGGGGGGACCGTCAGACCAAAGGCCGGGTTGAAGGCCGGGCTGAGACCCAAGGACCGTTCTGGGGGATGAGAATTTGTAAAGGAAAAAAAGCAGGTATCGAAAAAGCACAGGAGGAAACGTCCCCGGGGTTCAGTGGTTACTCTGGGTGGGGGGGGACTTTCAGTTCTTACTTTATATTTATATTTAAGAAGTGGAATTAGCTGAGAAGCTGGACTTTCTTTTCTTTCTTTTTTTTTTTTTTGGACTTTATTTTCTGTGTGTGTGCGCACGTGCGTGTGCGTGTGCGTGTGTGCGTGTGCACGAACTTTTTAAGTTAAAAGAAAGTTGACTTTTCCACCCTACGGCTAGAGCTCTGCAGCCCCGCAGAGCCACGGGGTGGGGGCACCCTCCCACTGGGGGTACGCCCCAGCCCCCTCAGTGACAGTGCTCCCCGGGCATGCCCTGGAGGGGACGTGGGCCTGGGGGGGGAACCCTGGTGCTCCAGGGGGGTCCCCCAGGGCAATCCAGTCTAAGGGCCACCACCCAGGCTGGTGAGGTCATTTCCCCCTGGGTAACTGGGATGGGAGCCCAAGCCACCCAGCCAAGTGGAGGCCGAGCCTCCTGGCCTCCGGGCAGGTGCCAGGGGAGTGCGGAGGGACGGCCCCTTCCCTGAAGGCAGGGGCAGCCCCAGGCCCTGCCCGGGAGGAACCGGCTCCTGTGAGGTCAGGGACCCTCTCCTGGGAAGGCCGCGAGCCTCTGTTTTCCAATTTGTATGGAGGCCGCAGAAGAATCAAGGCCCCGCGTCCACGACTTGTGCCCCCCCCTTCTGGGGCCTGACTGTCCCCCGCCCCTGTGCCCCTGTCCCCAGGTCCGGGGGAGGGGCCGGTCCAGGCGGTCCTGACCTCTCTGCTGTGCCTCATTCTGACAAAGGCCGCCACATGTGTGCCGTCACCCAGCGGCCCCGAATTCCCTCTCTGCCTGGGGTTGGGCTGTGGTGGGGGTGCCGGGCCCCGGGAGGAGGCCCCTGAGGGCCAGAGAGGAATCCAGGGAGGAGCAAATTGAGCAGGCCCTGGGGGCCTCTGCAGGGGGGGGGCTCTGCCTCTTAGGCCAGGCTATTACCTTCCCAGCACCTGTCGGCCTGCACAGGCTCCCCTGTCCCTGTTGGGGGCCGCCCACCACCCCCGCCAGGCCTGGCCTCGGCTGCACCCCCCTCGCGCCCACCCTGCGCCCAGCCTGGGCCTGGCTGCAGCAGGCGCTCAGTGGACGCTGGCCCCCACTTCACAGGTGGGGATGTTGAGGCTCAGAGGGCGGGCCTGAGGTCAGGTAGACAGGGGACCCAGGCAGAAGCGCTGCTGCGGCCCAGGGGCTGCGGGGTCGGGGACAGCTGGTGGGGCCCGGGCTGAGGGCTGGCTGTGTGGCAGCGGCAGCTGGGGCTCCTCTGGGGCCCAACCCCCACCCTGCGTGCAGAGGGGGAGGCAGCAGCTGGCGGTGGGGCCAGCTCCATCCTGGGCGGGAGGGGCCCTGCGCTGGGGCGGCCTCTCCCTGCGACTCTCACCCTCTGTCTTTGTCTCTGTGCGTCTCTGTCTCCTCTTTCCTGCACCGCCCCCCCCCCACTGTCAGGGCTGAAGGCTGAGCCCCCTTCCTGGCGTTGGAACGCGGCCTTCACCTCCACCTGCCCCGCCCTGCACAGCCCCCCCTGCCCGTTATTGTCTCTATTCCTCCCCCCGTGGGAGACACCTCCCCTGGGCTTGCTGCCCGGAGCAAGTCTGTCGTGAGCCTCAGTTTCCCATCTGGGGAGTGTTTGTAGAGTGTTCCCATCTGGGACCCGACACGCTGGGCACCGGCGCTCCGTGGGACCACAGGCTGCAGGTCCTTGTCCCTCCGGCTCGCGGCCAGCCTGGGGAGCAAACAGTGACCAACGAGCCGCTTCATGGGCATCTGAAGCTGTCCTGGGGGGGCCAGAGCCAAGGGGCCTGCAGGGTCTCGGGGCGGGGGGATGGAGGCTGGGAGTGACCCCGGTTGGCTCCGGGCCAGTCCTAAGGCCCTGAGGCCCAGGGCCACCCTCAGCCAAGCCGCTGGGTGTCTGAGCTGACGTGGCGACCCTGAGCCCCTGCTCTCCCATTAAGGGCCCCCCGGGCCGGGCCTCGGGGAAGGTGGTCAGGAGGGGCTGTGCTTGCAGCCCAAGCAAAGAGAGCACCGGGTGGGGGGAGGGGAGTCGGGCCAGCCCCCCAGGAGCGCTGCGGCCAGCTCCCAGCTCCAGTCTCCCCCAACCGTGCCAGCTTGGCAACCACGGAACCTCCCTGACAATAGAATCCATCACAGCAGAAATATCCTGGGGCCTGCTGCTTAATCACCCCTTGATTTGCATTTTTGCATATTAATGACGGCAGACCTGCTAATTTGCCGCATTCTTTTAAAGGTGCAGAGACTCTGGAACTGTGGGGGGGGGGGAACACGGGCCTTCCTCTGCAGGCCTGGGGTCCCCTCTGCCCTGGCGTCACAGGGACCCCACCCTCTAGAGTCCCAGGGTCTTCCACCCTCGAAATGGGAGGCACCAACCTCGGTATCAGCCAGGGGAACAGGATTCTGGAATGTTCTGCAGGTGGCTCCAACCTCAGCACCCCTGACCGGGAGAAAGTGTGGGATCAGGATGTGTCTTAAGCGTCTGCACCCTGTCGCTGACCAGGAGCCCCTGGGGGGGCGGGCTGCACCCCGCTCTGGCCCCGGGGCTCTCAGGCCTTTCAGCTCCCCCCACCTCCCGGCCTTCCCTGTGCTCTGGCTCTCCGCGGAGGCCCTCGCGCGCCCTGCACCACGCGCGTGTCCATCGCGGAGCTGGGTCTCGGGCTGGACAGGCCGCGCCCCGGGTCACACGGGCGCGCTCGGGCTCGTGCTGCCCCCTCGTGGCGCCCTTGGGTGAGGCCGCGGGTCTTCTTGCGGCCCCCGCCCGCGGAGCCCACCCTGCCCCGGGGCACCCCTGGGTCGGGGATACCGCACGGGCTGGACTCCCCGGACCCGGGCGCGCGGGCCGCCACGGGCGGGACGAGGGTGGGGGGGACGGAAATGGGGTCCGGCCCGGCGGCCCCGGCTGACCCCGTACCCCTCGGGCCGTCCCCGCAGAGCCCGCCCCACGCGCACCGGGGCCCGCGCCCACCAGGGGGCGCCCGCGCTCCGCGGGACGGGGCGAGACCGCCGTGTGCCTCCGCGGGCTCGGGCACGTGCGCACGCGCGTCCACGCGTGCCCTGGGGGCCCCGGGCGCGTGAGGCCTGCGTGGGTCCGCCCGCCGCGCTCGGGCGTAGTCGCGCGTGGGGCCGCATGTTCTGGCGTTTTGCGCGCGTCCACGCGGGTCCGCGTCCCCTCGGTGGGCGCTGGCCCGCCTGATCCTCCCCGCCGGCGCCTCGGTCCTTCGTGGGCTGATGCCGTCCTCCCGGGGGGGCGGCGCTGGCCCAAGGCACCCTGACGGCTGCACCCCTGGGCACCCAGGAAACAGGCGGGGCTGGCTGCGTGACCAGCCCCCAGGCCCGGGCCGTCATGGGAAATCCCCGTGGGCTCCGACAACCCGGGGACAGTTTCCACCATTACTGAGACTGCTGAGCACGGGGGACTCTCCCCGATGCTCCATCGCCCACGTCGTCTCTGCTCATGGGGCAGACAGGGGCCGCCTCCCCCCACCACTCCCTGTCCACCCCCGCGAACTCCTCTTCATCCTGCAGGGCCCTGTGCTCTTGGCCCCTCTTCTAGGACACGTGCCTGGTGCCCTGGGTGTGAGGGGAGGAGGGGCCACCGTGAAGGGCAGGCAGGGTGCTGGCTTCCCCCGCTCAAGGACCTGCTGGGAGCCTCGGGTGGGGTCACGGCATGGGGGCTTCCGCCCCGGCTCCTGGAAGGTGGGCGTCCAGGGGTGGGTGGGTGTTCACGTGGCTCAAGAGGCTCTGCTGGGAGCACCGGGCCCCTTCCCCGGGCCCCTCCCTCTGTGTCTCCCTCCTTCGGGCTCTCCAGCCCCTTCCTTCCTCTCTCCCTGTCCCTCTGTCACCCCCTGGCCCTGACCACCCCTCCAGCCCCCACGGACCATCTCCTTGGCAACGGCGGCCACAGGGTCAGCCGCTCGATCAATCTCCTCTCACCCCAGCGGCCCCAACCCTGGACCCGGAAGGTGACAAGGAAGTGGGGTCAGGCTTGGGTGTCCGGGTGGGGGGATGCCGCGGGGTTAGGACCGGGGTCACTTAGGCAGCCGAGCAGGGGTGGCGAGACTTGGAGAGGGCGAGGGGGTCCCTGGGGGCAGGGTCAGCAGGGTCAGAGGTCAAGTGAGCCTTGGGCTGCACTGATGGTATGCCCCCAGCCCCTGTGTCCCCAAGCCGTGGCCTCTGCCGGCTGGCGGCTGCTCGGAGCCCCGGGTTTGCGTGGAGCGCCCCCGCCCGCGGCCCCACGTACCACTCGCAGCAAGGCCCCCTGGCCGGCGCTGGGCACGGCTGGCGGTGGGAACCCGGCCTAGGCCCCAGCACGCCAGGCCGCAGGGCCTGAGCCGGCTGCCGCCACGGTCCTGGAACATTCTGTCCTGACTGCTTCTAGCCTAGTCCACCGTCACTGCTTCCGGAATATTCCTGCACCGTGGCCTCTGGAAGAGCCCAGCAGCACCGAGCAGCTCACAGCTACTCCTGGCAGGCAGGAAGCCATCAGGGCCTTTCGGTTTTTCCCTTTTAGGCGCAAGGGGGGGGGGGGTTGCAGGGCACAGCGGGGCAGCGGGCAGTGTGGGGCCTCAGGCCCTCCGCGGTCGATCGCCGGGCCCTGCAGGGACATGGATTGCTAAGTGCGTTTGTATAGATCCCGGGACAGGTAGCCTGGGCCTGAGAGGGGGAGGCAGGGCCAAGGAGGCCCCGGGGGACCTGGGGGGCTGAGTGCAGATGCGGGTGGGAGAAGGCTGGTGCTATCTGCTCCCTCCCTGCTCCGAGCCTCAGTTTCCCCATCCGGCGGTGGGGGTGTGTGCAGTGTGGACCAGGTCTGCAGTGGCGGGGGGGGGGGGGCCTCCGGGGAGTCCCCTTTCCAGAGGAGCCCACTCCTGGCTCCGAGAGGTCGGGCTGCCGGCTGGGGCCACACAGCCTGGAGGGGCCACGCTGCTGGGGCCAGTCTTTCCCCAGGGGCCGCCCCCCTCCCCGCGGCGGGCTCTGGGGGAGGCAGGGCGGGGCTGCTGGCCCTTTAAGAGCCTCGTTTTGGCGCCGCCTCGGGGTTATCGATCGCAGCCTTGGAAACGCGATTAGATTATCCGGCTGGGAACGGCAGGCCCGGGGCGGGGGGGTGCGCGGGCTTCTTGTAAACGGCTCCCCACGGGCAAGGAGGGCCCCGAGCTCCTGGCCACGCGGTGCCCCCGGGGCTGGGAGGCGTTGGCGCGGCCCCGGGGTGTGCAGCCGCATCCACGCGGTGTGCCCGAGCCGGCGTGACACAGGGACTCACTCCCTCCGAGAATACAAGCGGGTGTAACGTTATTACTATTACCAGACAGTAACTGCGGCTCCTGCTTGGCCCCTGCGCACCCCTGGGACCCGCTGCGGGAGTCGAGGTCCCCAGAGACGGTCGGGGAAACCGAGGCTGGAGGGGCCGAGCGTGAGCCGGGCCCTGGGGAACCCCCTGTGAGGTCACCTGCAGGGTGAAGGCAGAGACGCGGATTTGGGGGAGCAGCGCCGCCAGCAGCCCTACCCCTCTCCGCACCTGCAGAGGCCGCTGGGAGGTGCTTGCCCTGGGCGGGGCACAGGTGCTGAAGGGGCCCCGAGGCGCTGGCCTGGGGGGGGGTCTGGGGCCGCCCCCTGGGGCCATGACAGCCTCAGCCCCTGAGCACCCCTGCACGCTGGTCCCCAGTCTCTATGGGCTGGCCACTGTCGCTGCAGCCAGGCTCTTCACCCCCTCAGCGCCCCCAGGCAGGAGGTGGGGGCAGTAGGATGGAGACGGGAGACCTGGACTCAGGAAGGTGGACCACCGTGTTCGAGAGCCCAGGGCGACGAAATTCTCAGCCCGATTCCTCTGTGTCCCACTGGCTGTGGGTTGTCTCTGGGGGAAGAGGCTTGATCAAGGATTTTGGAGGCCCTGAATGTGGGGAAACAGGCCCAGAGTCACAGAGGCACCAGAGGATCTCCCAAGGCTTCAGGGAGGGGCCAGGGGCTACTTCCAGGCAGAAGGTGGAGATGAGCCCCATTTGGCCCCGAAGGCACAGTGCAACCTTGAGCACCTGGTCAGGGGTCACCTACCTGGCTCTGCAGGGTCCTGACCACCCAGGGGGTGGCAGAGAGGAGGGGCCTCAGTAGAGGGGGCTGTGGGGAGAAGGCCTGGCCCTTCCACCGGGATCCCGCACCTGCCAGCCAGATGGGACCTACATACAGCAGGAGCTTAATAGATGCAGAGCAAAGGGCTGCCCAGGCCATGGGGTGGGGAGGGCAGAGGAGGGGTCCAGCCAGGCCCCTGGACACTGTCCCCCCTGCGGGGCCCTGCTTGCTCTTTCCCTTCTTCCCCTCCTCCCCTCCCCTCCCCCTCCCCTCCATCCTTGCCCCCCTCCACCCCACAGCTCTCCCACTTCTCGGGTCCCTCTCAGGAGCCATTAGCAGCAGCCTCTCCAGGTGCCCCGCCCGCCCGCCAGGAGGAGCTGGGTCAGGACACGCTGCCACCCGCCTGCTGCAGAGTCTGCAGTCCTGTCCGGGCCCTAAGGGGCAGCCGCTGGGTGGGGACCCGGAAATAATGAGCCAGGCAAGCCTCCGGTCTCCTTTCCCTTCAGCCAAAGCCTCCAGGCCATTCTCAGGAGGCACCAGCAGGGCGGGGAGGGGGGGGTAGGGGTGTGTGGGGTGTGGGGGGAGGGCCACAGGCCCTGGGGATGATAGAGATGCCCCAGGTGGGGCACCTGACACATCCCTACCCCATATATCCCCTCAGGTTTCCTCCAGGCCCCCAGGGACCCCCACCCCCAGAGGGGCCTGCTGCTGGAGGTGAGCAGGGTTTGCCCAGGCCCAGAGGAAACATTAGGGGCAAAGGCCCTGGGGCAGGAAGCACTGTGTGGGAGGAAGGAGGAGAGGGCGCTGATGCTGGCTGGGCACCAGCCTCGTGGGGTCTCCTGGGCTGCGGGGAGGCCTTGGGTCTTTCTCGGGGGGTGTACTGGGGGAGGGAGGAGGGAGGAGGAAGGCGGCAGGCTTTGACCTGCTTTGACCGGGCCCTCTGGGTGCTGGGGGCAGGGAGGAGGCCGCAGCCAGCAGAGCCTGAGCTCAGGCAGGGATGGAGAGATGGGCCGGGTCCCAGAGCCCTGGGGGTGGGGTGGGGGGGGGAGCCAGGTGGCAGGAGGGGGTCCGGGGCCAGGAAGGGGTGCCGGGCTGTGGCCGTGGGCCTGCTGGCCCCTCCAAAGCAGTAATTAAGGGCTCCCGGCGTCCCCGCGGCATGATGTATGTGCGCCTTAACTAATCATTTATTAGGTCACTGATGTTTCGTCAATATTAATTCATTTATTTAAACAACTCGGCTCCGTAATGAAGATGTTGCCTGAGAGGGGAGGCCGGTGGGTGGCGGGCCAGGGCTGCAGGGAGGGGGCTCAGACCCGGGTCTGGGGGTGTCCAGGGCGTCAGGGGCCAGCTGAGGGGGTCATGTCCCTGGAGGTCATCCCGCTGGGCCGGTGGAGAGACTGAGGCCAGAGCAGACGATGAGCTGCCCTGAGGCCCCTGGGCGGTCCGTGAGGGTGGGTGGGACTCCGTGGGACCCCTCCCTGCCGCCCTGCCCCGAAAGGCAGACAGTGGCTGGGTGCCCACTGCCTAAACTGCTAAAAGGTTGGCTCTTTTTTTAATTTTATTTTTATTTATTTTATGATAGTCACACAGAGAGAGAGAAGCAGAGACACAGGCAGAGGGAGAAGCAGGCTCCATGCACCGGGAGCCCGACGTGGGACTCGATCCCGGGTCTCCAGGATCGCACCCTGGGCCAAAGGCAGGCGCTAAACCGCTGCGCCACCCAGGGATCCCTCTTTTTTTTTTTTTTTTTTAAGATTTTATTTATTTATTCGTGAGAGACACAGAGAGGGGCAGAGACCCAGGCAGAGGGAGAAGCAGGCTCCCTGCGGGGAGCCCGACGCGGGACTCGATCCCGGGACCCCGGGGTCACGCCCTGAGCCGAGGCAGACCCACCGCGGAGCCCCCAGGTGCCTGAGAGGCTGGCTTCTCCTTTACCCGCACCGTGCGGCGGGGACGTAGAGGGGACGTAGAGCAAGCGCCCCCGCGTCCGTCCTCTGCTCCAGAGCTGCCGTCTCCCCAGTGCCCGGCGAGGGGACCCACCCCTGTCTGCCGACCTCCCTGAGCACCACCTGCCCCCATCACGTCCCTCGCTCCGCTTGTCTTGAGGATCGACCTCCCTGCCGTCTGTTCCCCGGTCCAGCCTCACCTTGGGGTCTGTTCCACAGTGTGGGTGACACCCGGCATCTGCCCCTCTCCCGGAGCAGCAGACTCCGTGGGGCCCCCGCAACCTCAGCACAGCTCCCCGCTCCTGGCACCCCGGGCACCTGCTCGGAGGCCGCTTCTCGAAGCGCCCGAGGTGCAGGGACCTGATGGCTGAGCGGCAGCCCCGTGCCCTTGGCCGTGACCACCCCACGGGGTGTCCCCAGTGGCCCCTCGCCTCAAAGACAACCTACCTCTCCGAGTGAGCCCCGCTCTTGGCCTCAGCTTCCGGGGAGCCCGCATCGCGATGCCATGGTCGGGGTGTCTGAGGCCCACGCGTGTGAGCAGGGACCGCGGACCTCGTCCTTCCTCGGGACTCTGCCGTTTAAACTCCGTGTGTAGGGGCGCCTGGGGGCTCCGCGGTGGGGCGTCTGCCTTCGGCTCAGGGCGTGACCTGGGGGTCCCAATTCGAGTCCTACATCGGCTCCCCGCAGGGACCTGCTTCTCCCTCGGCCTGCGTCTCTGCCTCCCTCTGTGTGTCTCATGAATAAATAAATATAATCAAAATAAAACAAAATAAGCTCCACGTGGAAACCCAGGCACCTCCTGAAACCTGCATCGAGGGGCAAACACACATGAGGGTGGGGAGCAGGGGGCCCTGGGTTCTGGATGTCGGGACCCCCGGATATGGAAATTGGGCATTTTAGGGTCCGAGATCTCAGGATCCTGTGAACTCTGGAGGCGAAGGGCTCCTGTGTCCTGGGGGATCCGCGGGCCGTGGCCACTGGGCGGTCAGGGGTGGACACCGGAGGTGACGTGGCCACCAATGCCCAGGCCAGGATTCGGACGCCTGCCTTGAGCTGGGATGCCTGGTCTCTCCCATGTGCATCTGGCAGCGCCCTCTCCCACCCACAACCTGCCGGGGCTCTCCTGTCCACAGGTCAGACCCTGTGCGGCCCGGGGTGCTCCCCTCCTGGCCTCGGCACTCGCCTCCCTCCACCTCCCTCTGCAGGCGGAGCTCAGGCCCCCCCTGGGACCAGGAGTCTCAGCTTCTGCTCACCGGGCACGTGCAGGGGTCCCTGGGGAGGCGGCCAGCGGCCCTCTGGGCCTCCCTGTGGGGTTGTCGCGAGAGGAATGTTGGG